ATAAGAACATCAAAAATCTTATAATTAATGTTAAATAATTCCGATTCTTCTAATTTAAAAGTATTAATTAGTAAATTATAAATATTATTCAAATGGGTAAATTCACTTTCTTCACTGCTCAAAGAAATTTGAAATTGTTCACTACTTTTACTCGAGAGCTTTATTTTAGTAAAATTACTACTTGCTTTAATAGCTTCTCCCACTGCCCTTGGAATGCCTAATGCTATAATACTAGTTATTGATCCTCCAACATTTCTTACGACACAACTTATTTCTCCAATAATCTCTTGCTTTTTAACTTTTTTTTCTAATTTATTAATACATTTTTTTAGTTCTTCGATGGTTGTTTGACGAGCAGCTAGAAAATTTTCTTTTGTTTTTATATAGTGATTGACATAGTCAATTCCCTTTTGAGCTAATTCTGGTTTCTCTTTTAATATATTGATAAATTTACATATTAAGGTTTTATTTTGGCTTTCAGAAAAAGAGACACAAGGCTTTTCATAAACTTCTAATTTGCCTTGAACTTTTGCTAACTCAATTTCTAAAGAATGATAACTAATTTTTCGTTTTTGCTCAAATTGTTGATAATTAATTTGGTCATGCCTTTTAACAATTTCTTCTTGATTTTCACTGCCATCGGTAACCTGTTTTAATGTATGTTTTTGACATTCAATTAATAAGGTCTTGTTTTTAAATTTGTCTTCTAATTCGAGTTCCCAGCTAATTAATTTTTCACAATCAATTAAAATGAGTTCTATTTCTTCCATAATTTCATCATTTTTTAAATTACTTTCTAATTGCTGACGAACTGCTTTGTATCTACGATTTTGTTCAATATATAATACCTTTTTTCCCCTTAATTTGATCAATTCTAAATAAATTGACACTAAATCTTGAATCAATTCTTTTTCAGGTAAAATGCTAATAAAAGCATTAATTAATTTTTGCTTTTGGTTTTTGATTAAGAGGAAAAGTTCATGGATTCTTAATTCAAGATAATTGATTTGGGCTTCCCGTTCATCAAAAATGGTTTTTTGATTTAGTAGTTCTTCACACTTTGCTTTCAATGTAATATTGTTTTCTAACAAAGATTTTCCAATTTCAGCAGCTATAACTAGATCCCTTTCGTTTTCGTTAAGTATTTCATATAGAGATGTAGTAGATTCTTCAGATGACATAGTATGTTTTTCTAG